CTTGTTGCCTACACTGAGAAACTCACGGTGTCAATGTTTCACAGGCTCTACAAGAAGGCTTGGAGGCAGGAGGTTTTTGAGAACCAGGCATTTCTTACCTGATCCTCTCGCACGGTCAAACACTCTGGTCGGGCACTATCCAAATACCCCGGCTGGTGGTCGGACGCCAGTATTGACCAAGCCACCGACGCTCAATCCTAGGATGACAATGCTACGTTCATCCTGACCGCCCTGAAGGATTACGACCCATCTCTTGGCGGTTCTTCTTTGCCACAGCTCCGTTCCAGCATGCAGAATCTTTTCTCTCTTGGAGATCTCGAAGATGCCAACAATGGCAAAGGTTCCTGGGCCCTTCGCGAGTACTTTCTTTGTATTGTGACACCATGCCCCACGGTTGTGTTTGATGTCGCAATGGCCCAACGCGTTATCACTACTGACAAAAAGTCGCCTCGCGTTAATTGTTCAACGCGCCGAGCCGTTGACTTGGATGTGGCTAGCGGCATCCAAATTCTACGCTCATCCTTGGACAGGCCCTACTATAATTCCTCACATTGTGGAGGAATTCGAGCAACTAAAACGAGAGCCAAAAATAGCCAAAGCTCAGTCCAAGTTTAAGACGCAACTTGCATCCACGCCAGAGAACCCGAAAGGTGCCGAGGCACACAATTCTCCCAAGAACCTCAATCCAAGCAATGACCCAATGGAATTTGTTGAAATCGTTTGGCATGCCTTGACAACGGCGTTTCCAACAAAACAAGGTTGGAACCAGAATGAACTTCTCAGCTATTTACACACAACAACAATCTTATTTTATGACGTCTGCGCTGCCCATTAGAAGTGGCCACCAACCATGGGCTCAAATGACAAAAATCACAAGAGATGGCTCTGAAATCGACAAGGACTGCACCTGAGCACACTCAGGAAGGTCTGAAGGCAACAAGCCGCTCGAATCCTACCACCCTATTGACGGTTGACCGTGTGAAGGACAACCCCAATGAACACAAATTCTCCATGTTGTACAGCATATTTGTCTTGTTTCTTTCTCTGGAAAAGATACAGCAGACCAAATTTCTTGTCCAACATTTCCAAATCCTCACCATTAGAGTGGGAGCGCCGACCTGCCAATTGACAGGCCGGCTAAAGAGAATTGCATTCAATTCTTTCCTTGGAAAAGGTACCTAAAAAATTCCTTCTGTATTCAAGGAGATAATTGTGCACCTTGTTTGTACTTCCCCACCAACAGTTGGAGCGCCAATCTGTCCCCTGACATGATTGACTAGAGCAACTATTTCTTGAAAAATGCCTCAACGTGGTTAAAACTTATCTGACTAAAAGCAGCATAGTTCCTGGCCTCTACAGCCGTATTACACCGGCAGTTGGATACTCTAGAAGTAGCATAAAAACCAATTATTGATTCAGTTATCCCTTAACGCTTCGATTTTATCCGATATATTATATCGGATATAAAAAAATTTACACACTACCATTTACACCATACTACTACTATAATAAGCATTAAAATGATCATTACAAAGGGACAAACCTAAATATGAATACTTCCTAGCAGGTACGGTAAGCTTGGTTGTCGCTGTAGCTCCAATTTGCTTCTCCAGAGCCTTCTGATAAGCGAAATTGACTCCATGGAGTTGCTCGTTTCCTTTCTTGATAACAACAGTGTGCTTTTGCTGTTTCCCTCTGAATCCAGGCGCAGGAAGCCATGGCTTAGATGTAGCAATCATTCTAAACTTCTTCCTTTGTGCTTCTCTTGGTTTATTGTCACATAATGCGTTGGCCATGTGACTCTGCCAAACCGCAATTGCCAGCAGCCCGCTTTGCAGGATAGACAGCCATGCCATTGTAGTTACACATTGCAATCGACCTAAGAATCATTTTCGAATGACTATCCTTCACCTTTGAAGGTGCTAGCCTTTGTCTTGCAAAACTATTAACATTCAGGATGACAAGCAATATACTCGGATTTTCTCAGTCCATCAGACCACCAAATTGAGCCTCATGGTCCTCTTCCATGCCTATTGCATCTTCCAATAGGGCCGAGAAGAGCCATTGCGATAGTTCAGATCAATGGTATATGGTAGGTTGCAAGGATATGCCGTCTTCATGATCTGACAAGACAGTTTTGTGTTGGTGTCAGTTTTTGGGCGAATGGTTCTGTCCGACTTCGGAGGGTCATACTTGTTTCTGTGATGGGCTGAGATATAAGACCCCGATCCACGAAAAACCCCCCCTTCCCATACCCACTTTTGGGCTTTTCTAAAAAAATATCCCCATAGAAATTAAAAATGGTCATTTTTAGAATACGTGGTATTTTAACGCCAATAAGACAGTGCAAAGGGCAATTTTTTGGGGATTTTAGCCCTATGCTCGAAAGTACTTTGAGACAATTTTTGGTTTCAGGATGATGAGTCAACTGATTCGCATCACCACTCACGATGGGACAATGATTGAAGGCAAAATGGAAGCCAAAGAAGGTAACTACGCCGGCTACAACACAGACACCATCTACAACACGTGTTCCAGAAGAGCAATGGGGTTTGATTTGCAATCATGCAAGGTCAGAGAAGTGGTGTGATAGCTATCGACAAGAAAATGAAACAAGTAGCCTACAGAAGAGGCTGGAAACGACACGACCGAATGAAGGATTCCTCTTCCCTTCCTTCCCTTCTTTTGTCCCCAAGGTCTAAGGTCTGTTGATTGTTATGTTGGAGAGCTACTATGGTTTCCATGTTGCTGTGGCAGTTGCTGATGGCAATTGATGAAGATGTTGCTTGATGAGAATGGCGAAGACTGCCACTGTGGAGAGAATGGAATGAATTAAAGAAGACGAAGAGTCGTAGGTAATGTATTATAGGCTTGGATGTAGGTAATATGTTAGCTTTGTTACGTATTCCCTCAGTACTGTAGTGGTAATGTTGACAAAGGTGATGTCTTGGATGCCATTTTGGTTTCATTTTGGTTCTATCGGTACGGAAAATTTCCACAAGGCCCTTGGTAATTTGCGCGCGAACCCGGTTTTTTCCGTACGTCAGCAGTTTCCGAACCCATTGCGCACTTCTATGCGCTCGCCCGTTGAGAATTCTTCAACCACATCAAATTTTCCTTCCATCGGCAATGGTGAGCCTCGAGGTCGAGGAAAGCATCACCCTCTGGAGGAAAACTCGTGGGTCGCGGACATTCTCTGTATCGTGATCGTATCCATCTTGTTTGTATGAAGCGATATGGATGCATTTGCCCCTCTCACCTCTGAAATCACTGCTAAAGAACCTCAACAAGGTACGAAAACTACTTTTGGAGAGGTTTCGGGACGTCTACGAAGTCCCAAGGCAACATAGAGCTAGAATTTTCTGCGGAAGTTGCTTCTCTTATTATACTAAAGGCGATGATACCATTTTATATTCTTTATCTGGGTTCCTACAGGACGATTTTCAACCCAGACCATTGAGTTGCAAATTCGTCGGTCACAATGAACTTGCACGGCCTGGACCCCATGAGTAGAGAAAGTGGAATCAGAGGTTGTGGCAAGCATAGTTGATATATATGTTACGTCGGGAGCGGCGGTAATTATGTTGAACATCTTTTTCTGGGCCACAATCACACAATAATTCACCATGATTGGTTCCGTTGGTTGCTTGGACTGGACGGATAGGTGTCAAGAAGACGTATTTTCCGAGTGCGACTCATATCTACCGTCACCATCAAGACAATCTCTACACGGAGACTCGTTCGCAGTGTCGAACTACCAAAATTGACGATTTGGAGCACATCAAGGTGCCATGGTGCGATTGTTCCCCTCGTTTGGACAAGCCAGTGTGGACGCCCAGAGAAGTAAAAAGTGAAGCACATGTTGTGGCAAGCGTATTTGATAGATAGACTATGGCTGGAGCGGCGATTTATAGTTCCAATCGCCTCAATTACACTACAATCTACCCTGCTTCGTTTGGCTGGTTCTGTTTGGTTGCAGAAACTGGTCGGCAGAAAGTCAAGAGGATCAATGCCTCACATTCAACATGTGCTGGAAAGCTCGGCAGTGATCCTACCTACTCGGGGATCCATTTGGTTGTGTTTTGTTTTGAATACTTGTTGAGATATTGGAATTCCAGTGTTTGGTGCTGTCTGTTCCCCTTTCAGCATGAAGGTTGGCGTGGCCGCCCTGGAGACAGCCAACCATTCAACAATACACCAGAGCCTCCCTTGGATGCCTATTGTTCTAATTTTCTGGGACCCAGGCAATGGTTCCGCCTAGATTTAGAATCATGCCGCCCAAACGGGGTCAGAAATCATGGAAATCTGGTCCAAAAAGCCACTTGGTGGTGGTGTGGGCCGAATTTCCTTCAAATGCCTTGTTCTAACACATATTTGTCGTCCATGGGTATGTATGAGAAGATTGGTGGCTTTGTTGTGGACATTTTCTAGGTAAAAGTGATTGAATAGCATTCACACTGCTTTGGGGATCAATCCAGGTTCATGAAAGAATGTGGCTGGAATCCTTCTCAGTAGCCGAGTCGATACCCTGACACGACGGCACCAAGTTCAAAGTTGGTCAAAATATATTAGTAATCGAATTTGAGCGGTGGTTTGGAGGGCTATGGCGGAAAAAAGAATCTAGGATAGCATATTTTTTTTCTCTCTTTCCTTCTTTTCAATTGACTTTGTGGAATGGCCTGAAATAAGATCGATATACAGAAAGATCTCTAATTCAGAGTGGACCTAGTCCTAGCAAATATATATACTTAAAATATTGCATTGAAATTTATCTAAGAATGTAATCGCAACAAGGTCGTATGCTACGAGATCAGCCTCTGGCCTCTTGAGTTTTTTTTGGCAATCAAAAGAGTCAATATCAAGTCAATTGAGTCAATTTGACTAACGGCTGGTTTTTTAGCCGTTACCCGAAAGTTGTTTTCTGCAGTGGAGCCCCTCTAACACCTCCTATGAACTTCGGATATTTTACAAGGGATGGGCAAAGTATTCTCTAGCGCTTTGAAAAGGTTTTAGGTCCGTAGGTGTCTTTTGAAATTTTTGCTTTGTCCCCAGAATTCCAAATTTCACCCAAATTTTGGGGGGGTATTTCGTGGATCAGGGTCATAACATGTAGCATACCGATGAATTCTTTATTTCATCGGCAATAAACTTATTTATGACAGTAAAAAGTGTATTTGTATGTGGCGGAAGTTATTACGTAAAATGTGTGGAATTTTTTTTATCCGATATATTATATCGTCTAAAGCGTTAAGGGATATATATATATACGACCCGGTAAGAGCAACCCAAATGTTGCCGGCCGGCCACGCGCCTGCCAACCATCCATCCTCATCAATCGAACAGGACAAAAAGCCAACGTCATTGGTGATAGACCGGGCTTGCTCTCCTTCAGAAAAACATTTCAGCGACAAGACATAAAAAAACATCAACATCAACACGACAAGTGGCATTCCTATCGGGTTGCTCGCAGCATAGCACAGTTGCACAATCAAGCCATCTCCTCTTTCCTTCACTAGCCAGTAGCAACGTTACCAAAGTCCTCCATCAACTTCCGCACATTCCAGCTTTTTACACATCTGTTTCTCATCTTCCATTGCGCGGAGTGACAGGCAGTGTGTAGCTACGAAAGTTTTTTGTGTTGTGTCTTGTCCTCGCCTCTAGTAGGTTGGAGACTTGGTGCGGTGAAGTATTATGATGCCAGGATTGTCTACAGGTAGGAATTGCACTGCTGGCAACGTTGGAAGGAAGAAGAAGGCTGATAGTGACTATTTCTACTTTAAATACTGCTACACAAGTTGTCACTCGATCCATTGCAGCAGCATCCACTGCAAAGCGTGCCATCACATCAACAGACAGTGACTCAGGCACCAAGGCTCAACAGAAACAGAAAAAGAAAGCCTTGGCCATCGCCCCATCAGAGGTCCCTTTGACATCATTAGAAGATAATGTCAATGATGAAAAAAAAGGGACCACACCATCAACAAACACCAGTCCACCGTCACCTGAGAACAGTGCAGTTCCGCCAGTATTAGAAGATAGTGATGATGGCAATGATGGCAAGGCGATTGCCCCACCAGAAGACACCAGTCCAACAAAACCAGTGGACAACAATGGCCCAGTTCCGACCCAATCAGAAGATGATGACAAAGGGAAAAGAGTGAAAACCCCACAATATCCCTTACTAGAACACAGTAGTGAGCCATCAGTATATGTCAATGCTCTCGCTCCGTCAGCATCAAAAGAGGTGATGAGACAAGAATGGACAGACTGGTCCAGCTCCTTGATCCTTTGGTTGGCTTGTCTCAAATCCTCAGCAATTGACTTCAACCCCAATGCCTTTTCATACCCTGCAACGGCTGCTTCACTTTTGTGCAAAGGAGCTTCAATCCCTCTGTTCTTGGGGTCCTTGATGCTCTGTTTGTTTGCTCTGCTTTGTTCTAGAATTGTCTTATTAGTCTCGTATTCTTCATGCATGGCCATGACAATTTCATGCTCTGCAAGTTTGAGCGTTTTGCTATCTTCTTGTTCCAAAGCTTTGTATTTGCTCTTTTCACTCAGCGGGGCTTCTTCTTTCTCTTCAAGCAGTTTTGAAACAGGATTGACCTTCTTCTCCAATGCTCACTTTCTTCCTTCAGCTTCGCAATCTCAGAATGGAGATCCCAAACACATGCGCGCTCCCAAAGAAGAATCTGGGAAGCAATGGACATACAGATAGATGAAAAGGATCCTGTCACTAAGGAGGCTATCAAGAAAAAGTTGTCCAAGGTTCGGATACACACAAAGAGTGGATTATATGAGGCAATGCGGGTTCCCAGAAGTGATGCTATTCAGCGTGCATGTAACTCCTTGTGGTGGAAATGGGACAACAGTTCTAGGTGGCCGAACTGGCATCAGAGTGTAATTTGAGATGGCTTGCAATATCTTGACAGAAAGGTACCATCCTACAAGATAAAAAGCAGTGGTGTGTCTAATGTTGTTCTTTTCTGTAAAAAAGGGAGAGGGTGACATTCAAATGGTCTACAAATGGCAAGAGTGGATTAAATAACGCAGTGTGGGTTCCACATTTTGGTCTTCCAACCATTGAAATGCATTTGCGCTCACTTGAAGAAGGCACTTTCATGGCCAACATGGATGTGGGAGAATGCTCCTTAAATTTTGCTTTGCATGATACTTTAAGATCATTGGCTGGTGTCAACTTCACCAGGGACTTCCCCAATCAAAGCAAGCCAACAGTCTGGGTATGTTGGCATTGGGCATTGATGGGAGTAAAGAGCTCACCTTATCTGGCTGTGCAGGGTATGGCGGTAGCTGAGGAGGTGATTTGAGGGAAACCTGAGGACCCTGCAAATGTTTTGGCTGGGTAAAGGTTCACCTCAATTGTCCTGGTGATGAAGACTACACTCCTTTCAAACCATGGGTTTCAAAGGTACACAGTGATGGCAAAATTACAGCAGACCTGAGCAGCTATGTGGACAACCTGCAACCTTCAGGACCAAGTCAAAGGCAGGGTGAGTCGCACAGCAAGCGCTCTCAATCATCTTGGCATTCAAGATACTGCACAAAAGCGGCATGACAGTAGTCAAACTCCTGGTGCTTAGGCGGAGTCTGTGGTAATCACTCAAGAGGATTGAATGTATGTCGCAGCCAATACAGAGTAATAGAGGAAAGCAAATGCTATGATAGCTGAGGTCTTGGAGGCTGCTTGTCAACATCCAACAAAGATGAATTGCAAGCAATTGGAGGTTGTTTGAGGATTCGTGAATTATTTGGTGCAAGCTTACCGGCCTTTGAAACCATATCTCACTGGTCTTCATTGACAATTGATGGATGGAGACCAAACCAAGACTCAGATGGCTGGCAAGTTAAAGACTACAAGACTTGGGATGAGGAACAGCAATGGGATGATGGCTTGGACAAGGAAAAGGGACTGTGCCCACATGATTTATCCAATGCTCCTGTCAC